TTTTAACATTTATTAAAAACTCGAAATTTGAAATGTTAAACAGCTGGCATTTGAATGAGAATTGTTTAATGGGTACATTTTTACAATTGGCTGAACTGTGAATTTAGAAATATTTGCTGATGTCTGAAACTGATAGATTAACATATGTTCAGATTTGATATGGGATGGATGAATGGTTGGATGAATGAAATAATGGATGGATTGTTGAATGGATGTTAGATGGTTGGATGGATGGATGGATGGATGGATGGATTTATATGTAGATGGATGGATTCCTTAGGCCAAGCCGATCGATTTGATGTCTCACATGCGTGAGTGTGTAAGTCCATTTAGCCAGAAGATGATTGACCTCTCTCAACCAATCAGGGAGCTGGGAGGGAGCGGGGCACGTTCCCACCTTGTGATAGTCAATCAAATTGAACTTATTTCTAGTTTTAAGTACAAACAGTTCAAAAAGATCAAAAACAGTAGTCTGTTAATGGCTCAATATTCCACTTTTTATATTCATTCCTATGAGACTTGGTTAAAGTGATTTGTAGTTCCTTGTGTTGCCGTGGTAACAGATGACAGGAGTCTGCATTAATAAAGCTATGTACAATAACACATGACTCATTTAAACTTTGAATAACATTTCTATATTAAAGTATGTTGATACAGTTGTGTCTAAAATGTTGTTAAATGTTGTTGCTAAGCACGTTGCCATGGTAACGCAGAACACAATATCAAGTTAATACAAGACTCCTGGGACCAAGCAGGTTGAATTTATGTACCATTTGTGTGGGTGCACATTTCCTTTTAGGCAGAAGACGATTCTCAGCCAATGAGAGAGCAGCGAAGGAGGAGGGGGCAGTTCCTGTCTTCTGACTAGTGTTAAAATGTCAGCTATGCTGCTAGTTTTAAGTGTATAGAGCTGGTTGGTTGGTTGGTTGGTTGGTTGGTTGGTTCGTTGGATGGTTGGTTGGTTGGATGGATGGATGGATGGATGGATGGACGGATGGATGGATGGATGCCTTAGGCCTAGCCGATCGATTTGATGTCTCACATGTGTGGGTGTGTAATTCCATTTAGCCAGAAGATGATTGACCTCTCTCAATCAATCAGGGAGCTGTAAGGGAGTGGGGCACTTTCCCACCTTCTGACGGTCAATCAAATTGAACTTGTTTCTAGTTTTAAGTACAGATAGTTCGAAAAAATCTAAAACAGGAGTCTGTTATTGGCTCAATAGTCAGCTTTTTAATATTCATTCCTATGAGACTTGGTTAAAGTGGTATGTAGTTCCTTGTGTTGCCATGGTAACATATAACACATTTAATCTTGAATATAAGATTCCTGAGACCAAACTGGTCGATTTGATGTGTAATATGTATGGGTGCTGGATCCTGATTGGACAGAAAATGGTGGAACACTCTCAACCAATCAGAGAACAGCACTGTTTTCCCCCAGCTATTTTAGGCCTGCAGCCCTGTTAATGAGAGAAGCCTTTAAATCTGTCCTTCAGAAGTGAAATTGGACCTGTCCAACTTCTCATCACCATTCGAAAAGTACTGCACCGAATTGAAAATTTTAAAAAGCGTGAGCGGCAGAAGGCGTTGATGATCATCTGTGTCCATTTTTATGTGCCTACCATGAATTGTCTAGAAGCTATGACGAGAAACTTTTAGCTGTCTGAAGCCGATCAGAGAAGAAAATCTCTGTTCTTTTAACATGGGTTTCAATGAGGGAGAATCTGGGTCTCTCCTCTTTCTGAGGCTTGTAGCGAAAGAACGGTAACACTTACAGTTAAAATGAAACCCATTCTGAAAAGCTGACAAAAATTCCTACTTTTTGAGTTATAATTTGTTTTGGTAGTCCAAACGGTCTGGGGGTAGTAAAGAGTTGTTCACAGACGATGTGAAGTTCAAAACTTAGAGTGCGGAATTCTCAAGTTAGAGTGGGGAGACTTTTTTTTTTTTTGAATTTTCTCAAACAAATGAACCGTACGACCACAATGTTTGGAGTACAGTCAAGAATTATAGCCCAAAACGAAGGTATATTTGTTAGCTGTAAGCCAACGTGTGTCTCATTTCAATCGGACCTACGGTTCTCTCGGTACAACGCCAGAAATGGAGCAAGGGAGGGTCACTGCTCCTATCTTTCCCCATTATAACTTTTGTGAATTTTTCTGAAAATTTCAAGTCGTACCTCAACTTCTACCTGCGATTTTAGAAAAACCATAAAAGATATCAAAAAGCCTCTTTAATATGTTAAACAGGAAAGTCTTGAGAGTTTGTTAAACTTTGAATGAAGTCTCTAAGTTAAAAGGAACCCAATAGAGTTTTAGGTCAAAGAAGTGATAGGAATTTGCTGAAAATTGACCAGTCCCATTCATTTCAATGGGAAATTTTTCGCAGAAAAAGCTTAACTCGAAAAATTTTAAAGATATCAATGCCAAAAGTAAAAGCCAGAAAGAGCTTAACGAGCTGAACGTTTTGATATAAAATTGTGGAAATAGCTCAAAATTTGAAGGAGAAGAAGAGGTTCAAAAAGTGTACGGAAGCAGAATAAGAAGAAGGAGAAAGAAAAACAGGAAAACAATAGTTTGAATGCTCAAACAACTAGAAAAATTGCATTTGTTGTACAAATGCTGTTTGAATGCTGGATAGCTGAAACTGTAAGCTGAAGCCGCTGAACAGCTGAACTGAAGCTGAAACAGCATTCAAACAATAATAATTTTTATTTCAAACTAAAATACCTTATATGTAAAAGTTCTCTAGTATTTCTTTTACTCTAGCAATTCTAGAAATTGTTGTTTTTGATGGCACACATTGTTTTCTGAATTAATGAATAACTTGCACAAAAGAAACCGGTAATATATCTGAATTTTGTCCAGATCCGGCTGTTTCCTGATGGTGACGCCCTACAGTGGTGGAGCGGTAAAGAAGCCATTAAGAAGCAGCAGTGTAAAGGACGGCGGGTGAGTGAGACAGACAGAAGAAAGTGACAAAGACTGAAGACTTCTATTATCAGCGGGGATTCTTCTAAATGGAACTATCCTGCAGCCTTGTAACCTCCCCACTCACTGCTGAAACAGTGAAGGGAAGAGTTGTTGGGAGGAGTGGAGGATGCTGTTTTAATACAGAAGATAGTTGACATATGCAATGGAACTAAAACCAAGGGCGTCAGTTTGTTTTCAGAATTGCTGGGGACAATAACCATACACTTGATTGGGGTTTAAAAATTGCTGGGGACAATAAAGTAGGCTAGCACAGGGGTCGGCACCCCGTGGCTCTGGAGCCGCATGCGGCTCTTCCATCCATCTGATGCGGCTCTCTGTGCTTGTAAAATAATGAATGGATATTTAAATAAAATGCTTTATATTTTACTGCATTAATTTTACATCTGTATGCCAATTCTAAATGTAAAGATTGTCTGCGTAAACCTGAACAGGTCCAACCCGGTCTTACTGTGAGACCGGGTTGACGCATCACGCTTGTGCGTAATCATATAGGCACTTTATGAGCTGAAGAGGATGTGAGATTCTGGGATTCTCCTCAGACGGCTCCTGGATGTGTCGCCACATTGGAGACAGGGACAAGCACTATTCAGCCAAAGTTTCATAATCAGGGAACATTTTCTAAGTGACAAGTCTCTCTGAAAGACAGGGTTTGGAAAACACTCGCTTCAGTGGGAGGAACCTTCCACATGCGCTCTGGTTCTCTGGGTGGCTCTGGGGTTAATCAAGTTTAATTGTTTCTCTTTGCAACAATCTTCACAGGAAGGCAAAACAGTTAAACGGCAGGTTACAGATATTTCCATTTGACTGTTTATTTTGAAAGATGAACTCAAGGATGTTGCTTGGTTTGAAAGAATTACCCCGACGCGCACTGATGCACATGGATGAGCTGACATTTTAATCTTTAACGCACATCGCGGAGGTAAAATATTCCCATCAGAACATCAGAGCTTTATACTGGACACTGTGTTCAGCGTGGCTCGGAGCGCCCACGGTGGACAGTGAGCTGAAGATCTGGGGTTCGCAGCGCAGTGCAGAACCACAGCGCATGCGATAAGATTTCCTCCCACTGAAACAGTCTGGAAACCCGGTCTCTCTGAGGGATGTGTCACTTGGAAAAATGTTCTTTTTATGAAATTATGAAACTTTGGCTGAACAGCGCTTGTTCCCGTCTCTAATATGGAGACGCATGACGCGTAGAGACAATTGATCACGCACAAAGTTTATGTGGAGCAGAAGCGGTCGTGCCACGGCAGGTGAAATGTTCCTAGCCTACATGAAGTGAAACTGTTTAATTGTAACATTAATGTGTTACTGGACACGCTGGTCTGGTTGGTTAGACCAGTGTTTGAAGTGGAAAACAAACACACACACACACACACACACACACCAATTAAAATAATGCTGATAGCGTGGACTAGAAGACAGGTGATAGGTTTACGTATTTAAATGATGATCAGGCTGCTGTAAAATGTAATCTCCATCCGCATCCAGACAGATTTATCCTCTATTCTTCTCTAGTTGCTCTGCTCTTGTCTGGGCTGATCAGCTGATGGTGCGCGCGGCGCGCCTAACTAGCGGCTGATGCACATTTTACGCATTTGGAGAGGTGGGCTGGATGCTTTGCGTTTACTGGAAGATGGTCCACTTAACGCACGGGTGTAGACTACATATTAATGACAAATGAATGAAAATTAAATTGTGAGTTTTTACTTCATATTTTATCAATAAAAATGACGGGGGAACACATTTATGACGTCTTTTTAAACTAAATTTTCTAGCGCGACCTGCCTGCTTCACTTAAGTCGCTGCTTATTAAGGTCCGTCCAAAATTACCGTGGGAAACGTGTAATAATGGCTCTTTGATGGGAATAGGTTGCCGACCCCTGGTATAAGATCTGAGCTGGTAAAACAAAAATCCTCATCAGCAGGCGTTTTTGAAAGTGGGGGGGGGGGGGGGGGGGGGCACAGCTGCCAATCACAAATTTTGGCGGGGACATGTCCCCGGCGTCCCTGGTTAAAATGACGCCTATGACTAAAACTATTCTTTTTAAACAGACACGTGCACCATTAGAATGTTAAACCTGTGTGCGATATCAGCCTTGAAACTCTGCTTTATCGTACCACTTAGCATGAACCCATTTGCATTTTAAGCAGCTAGGACTCACCTGAGGCGATAAAAGTTTAATTTCCTTTTCATTTTGTGTGTTGCAGCCATTCCCAATTTTATCTTTATTTCAAGTTTGTACCAAAATCAGATAAAACATACATCCTGCTTTGCCTAAAGGAAATAAACTGATGCTAAACAGAAGAGCATGGAAGTGGCAGCATCATGCTGTGGGGTCAAGCCAAATGTAAGGATGTCCAGCTGTTACAATGATGCTGGTCTCCCTGCATTTTCAGATGCACAACCACCTGTACGGATCTTTTCTAACAGAAAAAGAAATAAATGCTTCAAAAATAATTACATGTTCAGCCCATGCAGCTCTTATTTTCTATACTCTGTCTGAGCTGCACCACCATTATCCTGCAGGATATGAAAATAAAGAGGTTTGTTCTAAGCCAGGGATTCCCAAAGTGAGCTGCCGCTAGGGGGTGCGCAAGGTGAAAAGTGTAATGGCTGCGGAGCTCAGAGAAGTCTGTCAAAAGTCACCATTAGCGTAGCCAGAAACTCATTTGTGAGTGGGCCTAAGAAAATGTAATTGAAAACAAGTATATTTTGCTTGTGTGTGTGTGTGTGTGTGTGTCCTCCGCACATGCCCTAGCTCAGGGGTCGGCAATCCGCGGCTCTGGAGATGCATGCGGCTCTTCCATCCATCTGATACGGCTCTCTGTGCTTGTAAAATAATGAATCGATATTTAAATAAAATGCTTTATATTTTACTGCATTAATTTTACATCTGTAAGCTAATTCTAAATGTAAAGATTGTCTGCGTAAACCTGAACAGTTCCAACCCGGTCTACTGTGTGGCCGGGTTGACGCGTCACGCTTGTGCGTAATCATGTGCACTTTATGAGCTGAAGAAGATGTGAGATTCTGGGACTCTCCTCAGACGCCACATTGGAGACAGGAACAAGAACAATTCAGCCAAAGTTTCATCATCAGGGAACATTTTCTAAGTGACAAGTCTCTCTGAGAGACCGGGTTTGGAGAACTCTCGCTTCAGTGGAAGGAATCTTCCCGCATGCGCTCTGGTTCTGCGGCGCGCTCCAATCCCCTCTCCACATCTTCAGCTCACTGTGCACCTTATGTACGCGCTGACAGTGAGCTGGGCTGAGCGGTGAACAGCTCAGATGTTCAGAAGGAAACCTTTTCTTGAGTGATTTAGCTACATCTGCGATTTGCGTAGAATAAAGTGTCAGTTCGTTTGCATGCGTCGGGGTAATTCTTCCTATTCTTTCTCCGTCAAAATAAACGGCCAAATACTTGAACTGTCCGGTCAACACAAGCCCTGTGAGGCTTACTATAACTGTTCTGTTTTCTTGTGAAAATTATTACAAATTAAACTTGATTACCACCAGAGCCAGGCACACTGCGCCGTTATCTCCGTCACTGTAAATGAGGGAAAAACAAAATGATCGGATCCTTTTCTGACCTTCCCCACCTACAAAGTTTAATTACAACAATCAAACGTGACAGAGCCTGGATTTGTATTCTGAACAGTCTAAACATGTTTTAAAAAGAAACATATGACAAAAGTGGCACCTGCTCAGTAAAACCACCAACAGGGCGAAAAATATCTAAATATTGTAGGCAGAGACGGGCTACAACTTCTGGATCCACTTTATATAAATCGTTTTATTGATTATCGAAAATCAATCTATTGAAAGATAGCTTTGACGTACACGAGCGACCGGTACCGGCTGCTGTTACCTGTTGTGAGCAGCGCTCTGCTGTCTGAGGGTAGGCCCCACCCACAACACCCCGGCTGCTGCGGTGTTTTCTTTACTGTGGGAAACGGGTAATAATGGCTCTTTGATGGGAACAGGTTGCTGACCCCTGGTTTAGCGTGACGTCTGATTATACATACATATATATATATATGGTCGGGACATAGAAGGGCGTGCACGGCTAAATAAGTTTGGGAACCACTGTTCTAAGCTAAAGCCATTTATAATTGTTTTAAAGTACACTTGAAGAACCCCACACTGGGTATCTACTGCCTATCATAACCCTCCTGTACCCACTTGCTAAAAAGTACCACTTACAAAACCCATAGAATGGCAAACACGTGGTAGGGTTTTTGCTCTGTTTTATGCTTCATTTTTAATTCAATACATTAATATGAGTAAAATGAATAGAAATAGTTTTGATTAAAAGTGACAGTGTGCAGTTTTTTCCTTTAATCTCTGGAAATATCCATTAAAACATTGTAAAACATGAATCACATGATTTCCAGTCATTGAAAAATATTGACGGCTTCTTAACATTTAACCATAAAAATCAGGTCTAAAGTATAAAGGGCACGGATCTAGTGCCGTTGGGAGACGCCAGATTACCTTCTGGATGGTTCAGGGTCCTACACCTGTCGATCACTAGATGATTGGCTGTATAAACGACTTTATGACACATTTGAAAACATTTAGGGAGCAAGAAACATGTCTTTAATAACAAAACTTCTAAAGTCTTTACAAAACATGTGTGAAAGATCAGAATCAATTCAATTCAAGATTATTTATATAGCACCAAGTCACGACAAGAGTCATCTCAAGGCACTTCACATAGTAAACATTCCAATACAGGTCAGTTCATTAAGCCAATCAGAAAAAAGTTTCCTATATAAGGAACTCGGCTAAATCAAAAAAGAGATGCAACATATTTTGGCCGAGTGGTATTGCCGTAGTATGATGACATCATTGGCAGGCGCATGACTCCGAGTAGATCCGGAAACTACAGCGCCAGAAAACTAAAATCTACATTGCATTTTCCTGATGGAATTAAGACCTTCAAAGTGTGAGGAGTCACGCTTGAGGTCACATGCTTTCTGCTCCACAGGTAACATTTACCGTAACGTTTTTTTTTAAAACTAGCAACAGATATGATGTAAAACTACCCTGAAGTGTATATACTACCCCCTTTTGCCAGGAAACTACACATTGTCACTTTAAGTTAGTTTGAAACTACGTTGGTTTCATCGATCCTGGTGGAACACATTTGCTTGTTAAAATGTTAACATTACCTTCTTGTCTGGCCAGTTATATTTGTCGAAGATGGCATCATAGGTATGGACCGCTCCATCCGTCACCAACATAATGGCCTGGCTGCACTCACTACCTCTCCCAGTCTTGTTGAACTGAAAATAGAAAGCTACAGCATTAAATAACAAATCACAATGTTCTTAAACTAGCATCTAGATTAGTAGGCTGATAGCTTTGTTGTACACATGCTAGTGAACACATAGCATTTCCGATTTCAGATTTATTGGCCAAGTAAAATTACATTTACAAGGAATTTGTCTTCGGTAGATGTTCGCTCTCTAAAACAGACAACAACACAATAAATGATAATAAAAATACCTAAAAACACATAAGAACATGTATACTCACACACACGTTCATTTACACACACACACATATATACATATATACATACCCACACACACACACACACGCACGCACGCACACACACACACACACACACACACACACACACATATCCATAAGCATACTGAATAAGTATTAAAAACTATAGTAAAAGGATGGTAAAAGAATCTACAGATGCAGGAGAGAAATGGCTGAAGGAAAGAAACTGTTCTTGTGTCTGGTAGTTTTTGTGTACAGTGATCTATAGCGTCTGCCAGATGGGAGGAGATGGAAGAGAGTAGATGCAGGATGTGTGGCATCTTGGACAATATTCACTGCCTTTTTCCTGGTCCTGCTGATGTACAGTTCCTGGACAGAGGGCAGTTGGGCACCAATGATTTTTCCTGCTGTTTTAATAATACGCTGTAGTCTGCATTTGTCCATTTTTGTGGCTGACCCAAACCAGACAGTGATGGATGAGCAAAGTATGGATTCGACTGCAGCAGTATAGAAGATGATCAGCAGCTCTTGTGGTAGGCCGTACTTCCTTAGTTGCCGTAAGAAATACATCCTCTGCTGAGCCTTTTTGACGATGGAGTTGATGTTTGTTTCCCACTTCAGATTCCAAGAAATGATAGTTCCCAAGAACTTGTATGAGTCCACCATTGACACTGGGCTGTTGGATATTGTGAGGGGGGGGGCAGCACTGTGGTAAGCTTCCTAAAATCCACAACCATCTCCACAGTCTTAAGGGTGTTAAGTTCAAGATTGTGCTGACTACACCAGACCACCAGCCTCTCAACTTCTCATCATCCTGGATGAGCCCAATGACAGTGGTGTCATCTGCAAATTTCAGGATTTTTACAGCTGTGTCCTTAGAGGTGCAGTCATTGGTGTACAATGAAGAGCACTTCACTGCCTGTTTCACTTTTTTACCAGTTTAAAGTGTATAAATTAACTCAGAAACATTTACTCCATGTTTGTGTTATTTTTTGACACATGTATATGTATTTTTTTGACACATGTATATGTAATTAATTGTCTGTTCATAATGAGGTGTCAGATCAATACCGTGAGTCATCAAGTATCTTGTTTTCTAGGCGTTTAGCCGATTCAATGAACTGAGCTGTTAATCACATTACTAATTAATTTTCGTCATAAACACGTGTGTGTTTACATGAATGGGTGTGACGAGGATCATGCATCAGTGGTTTACTTACATCACTGAGAAGACTGAACGCCTCAGTCAGAGCTATGTCCAACATACCAATGCCTTGAGCAAACAGCTTGTCGAGGTGCTCCCGGAAATGCTGCCAAGATAAAATCGGAGATGGGGCGATAAGGTTGTGAATGTGGGGCAAATGCAATAAATATGAAACATGACAACATTACAAGTTTATGCAAAAGATCACAAAAAATAACTATGACTCAAGGAAATTAGATAAATAATAGCCTATTGATTTGAGCTAGCTGATAATATTTCACAGAACTTAATTAATGGAGTGATAAAATATTGCATTGGTGATGTAATCAGCCTGTTTTTGTGGTTCAGATATTATATTGGAGGGAAATGTCTCATAATTTTTAAAAAGCTTAGATTTACATAAATACACATACACTGTAAATACATTTTCTGGGTGTAGTACATGCAACATTTTTTTTTAAAGTTATTTTTTTCGGAAAATTTAATTAAAAATTTTTTTTTAGTATTTTAAACGTTTTCCATACTCAAAAACTTCTACAATTTTCCCAACTCAATATTTTTGGGAACAATTTTGATTAGGTTGGACTTCAACGTAAATATGAGTATGTAAAACTCAGTTATTGGCTTAGATGGAAGATAAATGCCAGAACCCGCCCATTTATCCTGCAACGGAAGAAGAAGGCACAAGGCACTGACTGTTAAGCGGGACGGTCCATCTTGGAAGAGCTTGCATGCGCAGCCGAACTCGTGGATAAAGCTTTTCAAAAACTTGTAAGTAACTATTTTGACTATTTTAAGTTAACGTGTAGTCAAAATGTCACATTTATATGTTTGTTTATCATACCTGCTCAGGCTGCTCTTAGCTAGCAATGTGTACTAATCTATCGGCCTGTTAGCTTACTTCAACATGTGGTCCGTTTTGTTACTATCAAACATCACTTTTGTGTTTATTTCAGAAACCAACATTTTCGGTAGGCTTTCACTCTTATATAGTTAATTGATGTACTGTTTTGTGGGCACGTCTTAAATTTTATGAATTCTTACAGAGCAGATATATAGCTTTAATTGCGCTTGCCTGCCTCACAGAGCTGCTTACAAGTGTATTTTGAACTGCTAGTTATCATAACTAGCCGACATTTGAACCGACAAATGGCGCATCGGCCATCAGCTTGTGAAAACCGCGGGGGAATTTTTTAAGTTTTGGTCGCGCTTATCTCCATTTTATTTATGGCTGGGGCTGTATTTTCAAATTATATGCTTTTTTAATTTTTTAAGTTTTGGTCGCGCTTATCTCCATTTTATTTATGGCTGGGGCTGTATTTTCAAATTATATGCTGCTCTTCCTGTTGCTCGTCTATGCCCTTAATTTTCTGTCCGTCACACCCGCTCGTGTGTGAGTGAGAAACGGAGAAAAAAAATGGAGAGACGAGAGGCAATTGATCTGCTGGTGTGCTGTCGAAAATATGGAGAAACTCCTGTTTGAAACGGTACACCGCCTCTTTAACGTCTGCCCGATGCGTCTGCCACACTCGACGGATTACGCCACCGTCACGTTTGCTCTTTGTAGGTCGACTCGTCTGACTTTTCTTTCTTTCTTTCTTTCTTTCTTTCTTTTTAACTACAATAAATGTCTGTTTTTAGGTATCACTCCCATAAGATTGCTTCTGACTGCAAAAAAGTGTTTAAACACCGCGTGGGCCATTTAATGGCAGATAAAATCCTTAAGTAAAGATGGAATGAAAATAAATAGAAAAAATAAAATATCAATCAATTTATGGCACAAATACAGTGCACAACAACTGATTCTGATGAATTATAAACAAGAAAATGTTAATAGACATCTTCATTTAAAATTCACGAGGTAATTCACAACAAGTGTTGTGTTTTTTATTCACGTGTCACTGTTTTGCTCACCTCAATTAAAATAATTCAGTGTAATTCAATCATTGTTAAGGGGTTTATGCCATCAGTTTGGCCAATATGTAACATTTAAACCATAATACTCTTTTTTTTTAACAAACTCTGAAGGTGATGTACTTAAAGATATAAGTGACTCAGTTCTTTTATTGTTTATTCAGATTATTATTCATGTTTTATTTCTGTTCTTTAACTACTTAGTTTAAAGCATTTACTGCTAATCATTTGCATTTTTATAGATAAATGCAGAGTTCCAAAGGTGCACTGCTGTTCCTCTACAGTCTACATTCATGTCTCAGCTGGATAAATGTACTCCAAAGCTCCTGGATTTGTTCAGTGCCAAGGGAGGAGCAGTTGGTCAGCGCATCAAGAACTTATTGATGGAACTGATACAGGTGAGTTAAAAAATCATGGTATTACATTAAAGAGCAAGTCATCCCCAAATCAACTATATTTTTCTGATAAACTATATAAATGCGTGTCTAATCATGCTGCAGACACGTGTAGTCAATAGTTTTGCACTTTAGTGCATTTTTGTTAAAATTTAAAATTTCTGCCTGAAACTGTCAGTGTTGTGCCGTTGTCAGGTAAAAACTCTTCACTGCATTTGAATTTAAATCTGCCACCGCTATTGGCTAAGAGGTATGCTATGATGTAAACTGGTACATTATGATGTCACAATGTCGTGAGTGTGTGTATTTGTTAGTGGCTCCACCCTCTCGGTCTGCTAGGCAACAGCATTTGTTGCATTTTTCAAACATGAAGTGGGAGTGAAGTACGCTTCTTGTAAGGGGTGACTTGCTCTTTAAGTCATCTGTATTCATGTTCAGTTTGAAGTTTTAACTTTGGTTTCAAAGCCCTGAACAGTCCACCTGTCTGAGCATCTAACCCCATACATTGCTCTCAACTACTGAGGTCTGCAGATTAGTCGACTATTCACGTCATGCAAAAGAGTATAGCTTAATCCACAAGGATGTTTAATATAGCCATCATTAGCTACTAGTTTGAAGTGTGATCAGTTATGTGCCATCTAATAATAAAGACAAGATGATAGCTTATCAAACAACTTTAAATAACTTTCTAACCTGTTAATACAAATGCTACACAGTAAAGGGAGGTAGGCACCAAAAACCAAAATAAATTGTATATTTTTTTAAAAAGCGGTCATAGAATAAACGTCGACTATTAAATTTGTAGTCGACTACTTAGTTTAATTTTATTTTGTTGATGTCATCGTGACGAATCGACTAATCGTGCCAGCAATAGATGTGATCTAAATTGTGGGGCAAGGGCTTTCTTGTTTGCCAGCCACAATTTTTGGAATGTACACATATGTGCAGCAGGCTTGATTGCTTGCTTGGTCTAAATCCATAATGAAGTTATATTTCAACCATTTTGCTTTAGGTCAGTGATCCCTACTTATTTATAACTTTTTGCTTATGTGTGGCTGTTTTTCGATGCTCTGCTTTTTTTTGTGGAAATTTGGTTATGATGCTTTTTTTTGTTTGTTTGTTTGTTTTTTACTCGCTGTCATGTTTTTTGTCGTCTACGTTTATGGTGTTTTTTGCCTTTCTGTGCAGTACTTTGGTAAGTTGTCATGATGTTTTTTAAACGGATTGAAAATATATATCTCTCATATAAGCTCTTTCATATATTATTATAAGCTCTTTTATATGATTAAATATGTATCTCTCACTTTTGCCCCTTATATATTATCATAAATACATTATTATATGCCTTTTCATGGAATCTTGTTATAATATCAAAGACCTCTCTGTGCCTTTTCTGCTCAAGCTGAACAGCTGCATAAGGGAGTGAAAGTGTTCCTTCCTTCAGTTCCTCAATACAAGAACAACTGTCTTTGTTAGCAAAGGATGTTGCAGGATGTGTCCTGATCATCTCAAGGTTGCATGTCCTTGGGATGAATTGGTCTTTCATTAACAAGGCTATTAGCTGACGTGCGTCTGCAGGTGCAGATGGCAGAATTACGTGTGTGTATGGCAAACTACGTATGTAACATTCCTGTAATCTTCAATAAAAATCAGCCGTTTTCAGCAGAACGGCGAGAGTCTGTCCGAAGCATCTGGCAAGAGCAGGTCGCGGGACTTGCTGCAGAGACTCTCCCCCTCATGAGCGGCGAAACAGTGAATGGACTTCTGATCATTTGTCTCCTCGTTCTGACAACTTTAAAGGTGTTTAACTCCATCTACTCCGTACCCGTGCTTGGTCTAACGGAAGAGAGACCAACAAATTTGGCGTCACGAACAGGATTTTTTCTTTTTGAAGAAAAAGGAGTTTTTGGAGGATGATTCGACCTACTGACCCAGCGAACGATCTTGGCACAGAACACCGCGGTGGAAAACAAGGTGAGCAGAGCCTATTATCTAAAATCTGCTCATTGGATTTATCCAAAGCCTTTGTGTCCAGAGTCATAGTAGCTGAGGTCCTAAAATAATAGTTGGAGAAGAAAGTGGAGACAAGTGCAGGAGAATAAGAGATTTTTTGTAATGGTTTAATGGTGAAATGAAATGAGGATTTTTCTAATAGTTTAATGAGTAAATGAGATAAGGAAATAGTACAGAAAGAAGGGTTGGAGGCCCAGAGCATTAATAAGCTCTAAATTCCATTTAAAGAAGGGTTGGAGGCCCAGGACAAGGTCCTAAATTCCATTTCCAGGTCGTGGCTGACCACACTATTTGCTGACGAGTGAATAGAATATATAACGAGGTTATATAATGCTTGGTTGGAGTCCATAGGTGTGGGAAGCCTAAAATTCTACAGGTCAAGGACCTGGTTCGGGTTAAGGCCCTGGGAGGCTAAAGAGAGCTCCCTAAATTTTAAAGGCACAGGTCGAGGACCTGGTTTGGGTTAAGGCCCTGGGAGGCTAAAGAGAGCTCCCTAAATTCGAAAGGTCAAGGACCTTTGCATGAGATGAGAAAAATGTTCTAAGGTAACTGTTTTTGCATAAAATAAGTAATGTTTAAAATATGACAAGCAGCCCAGTTGAAGCCACGAGAAATGAGGTTTTATTGAGGAAGTCAGCAGAAAAGGCGATGAAGGAAAAGGGGTAGATGTTAACAGTAGAGGTAGCTGGAGCAAGATTTGGGAAGTGAAGGCTGCAGAATCAAGAGAAAAGGCACAGCTGTAGACAAGCTTCACTGTGTGTGTAAGCTGAGTTCAGCCTGTGTG